ATACCATGAGATACCAAGAGGACAGAAAAGGAGAGCACTCTCGCCCCCCCCTTACCGCAAATTTAACAGCCCCCTTGCCCGTTCTCCCACTTCTTGCTCGGTCCAGAGATTCTTAGGTCCATGGGTGAGCGTTTTTGCGGTGGAAACACTAACCCCAATGTTTCCACCGCAAAATCGCTCACCCCAACCCGACTCTGACCCGACTCTAGCCCGACTCTGACCCTCGGTGGAACAGCAGTCATTGGCGATACGCAGGTTACGCTACGCAACTTAGGCTGGATTCACATGGAGCGTAAGTTGCGTAGCGTAACCTGCGTATCGCCAATCACAGGACTAGTTCAACGGAATTATTGAAACGGTTCTATCAGCATGATCCTGTGATTGGTGATACGCAGGTTACGCTACGCAACTTACGCTCCATGTGAAAGCACCCTCACTCTGATTGGTCGGATTGGTCTTTCAATCTAATCCCAATCTCAATCCGTATTAAGCCCGTATCAGACTACGGATTGAGATTGGGATTAGATTGAAATTTGACCAATCAGAGTAAAAGTTACTGAACTTAAGATTAGTAAACTTTACTGTAGGCTTGTTTTCTGTTGCTGCACTGGTGAACTAGTGCAATAAGTTAGAGTAGGACAAGTATATTTTTTCTCATTCTAGCTTACTGCACTAGTTCACCAGTGCAGCAATAGAAAACCATAGACTTCTATAGACGGAATGTTAGCTACGACTCTGGGCAAGAGGGGTTCTGATATTCGGGGCGCGGAGGCACTCATCTGACATCGACTCTTTCCGGTGAGATTCGGTAATATTTGGTTCACATTTCCAATCCCCATCCAGGATCATCCCCACTCCAAGTTGGAGGGGATGATTCGTTCGGCCACGCGCGCGCGCTCGCTCGCACACAAGCAACGCGCCGTATATACGTGTGCACACGTATTGGAAATGTGAACCGAATATTACCGAATCTCACCGGAAAGAGTCGAAGTCAGACGAGTGATCCCCTTACCGCGATTATCAGTTACCCCTCGTAAAAGGGTCCGTCTATAGAAGTCTATGTAGAAAACAAGCCTTATGATTGGTTAAATTTCAATCTAATCCCAATCCCAATCCGTAGTCTGATACGGGCTTTAGTCTGATACGGGCTTAACGATGCCGTTTCAAGAGACTGTTTTGAGCGCCTTTTTACGGCCATTTTTACTTCTGGAACTATTTTGCTATGCATCTTCGTTTCGTGTCAAAATTACATTAAAATGTCACGTAAAAAAGGACGAATATTTCTAGAGTTATGCACGGAGAAGCAGATTATGAGGCAATCGACATGAATTAAATTCATATTATTTTTTCCGGTTGGTACACTCAATGGCTGTGTTCTCCATAAGTTAGCGCTTTAAGTGCTTTATGCTGATTGGGTAGATCTAGAAGAATAGCTCTATTTCAGCACAGATCTGAAAGTATAATCCAATGAACGCAAAGCGCTTAGCAAGCGCTAACTTCTGCTGGACACAGGCAATGTGATTCGATGTAAATGCACACGTATTAAAGCATTGGTAAAAACGTGCCACGAGGGAAAGCATGTTGTCTCTTTCTAAAATGTACACTTCTGCAGCCACAATGCGCAGTCTATATATACTATGTCTATGGCCTGCACACTGCATTGCTCGCGCTACTTCGTTATCGGCACTGCGTGCACTCCGTGTATATTATCCCGTGGATTATTTGCACTGTATCGACACTACAGGCTCAAATACATATACACCGGAGATTGCGACCATTAGAATTGGACCAAATTGGACCAACCGTGTGATCTTAATCCGTTCTGTTCTGGCGCAACAGCAAGATTACGCGCTCACACACGTGCGCCTGTGCGCGCATCATGACGGGACCGCTCGCGCGCGCGTGTATGTGCGAAGGGTCAAGCCTCGGAGGTCGGAGGAGAACTGTCAAGGGTGGATGTTAAAAACAGAGGACGATAGTGCGGTTAGTACCGTCACGATGACGTTGTGCAAATCCGATTCTTTCGCGCGATCCAACTTTTCAGAGCGAGAGAGATTTCACGGGAATTTTAATTGATATAGAATATAGATACGGCGATGCGGGACGTTGACCGCCGACGTGAGAAGCCGCTCATCGAGAAGTAGACTGTCCGATTGCCTCGAGGAACATGGACCGCGTCCCGGATGACCGAGGACTTGTGCCTCTCGCCGTTTAGACCCGACGTGCACTCGAGCGTGTACCACGCAGCCGGAGCCAAATCACGTCCGAAGGTCCCGATCGAAGGATGCGAAGGATGCCTACTGACATTTTCCTGGGAAACAGTGGCACCCTTCATCGCTCCTTGATGTTCATACTGAAGCTCGGCTGGCAGTCCAGATTCCGCTTGCCCGTGCTCCTGGTCATCGTCTTCGTCGCCATGGACTACAGGCTGCAGCTGGAGATCGAATTCGGGGACAACGCGGACCAACACGATGACCTGTGATCCGATACGGGCGAGATCAGATAGATTGTAATATACATGTGGCGTGTGAGATTCTAGTTTCTACTTCAATCGTAAGGTAGAAACGCGTATTGGATCAGAGCCCCGTATTGGATCGTAGCGTTGATTGTTGACGATTTATTGTCAACATTTACAAAAGATATTCAACTCGCGATTACAACGTTGCACTCTTGGGGAGTACTTGTTGAGACTATTAGCACTCGGACTTGCCAGACTGACGTATGCATTTGAATTAATTTAAGAAACTTTTATATAATTCTACTTATAATACATTGTTCTATCTTATAATATACATATGTGTCTTACAACGTATTTATATCATGAATTGTATATTGTCCAAATTAAACTGATAAGCGTAATTTTATGTAATTTTGTTATAAATATTTGTAATAGATAATAGACGCAGGAAGATTGACTTTCAGAAAAGCTTCTGAGAAGTAAAGTTCAGATTTTGTTTAATCTATTAAGAAAAGAAGTGAGTGCAAGTAGCAGAGTTTAATGGGAGCTTATGAAATACATGAAACTACACGAAAGGAGACACCGGGGGGCATCTTTGACTTTCTATTGCTGCGACCATTTCCATTTATAAACTTGGTGATTATTCAGCAGAAAATAAAAACAAATATAGAAAGTTTATGAAATTTACTTGTTACGTGCAAAAATGAAATGCCGAAAACATGATACGGATATATCTTTATAAAAATTAGAATGTAAGGCGTGTATGCATAAGTTGGCAACTTGTTTTGTAATTACTTCGAGCGTATTGTAAATTGCTTGTATGATAACAGTTGTGTTATGAATAAATAAACAGGAGACCATTTATTTTTTAGATATCGTGCATTACAGGTTCTTTTCCTTCATTTTTTAAAAAGTGAAACATACTTTTTTTCATTTGTTACACCATAGTGCACAACTAGTAGGTCCACTCGGTCATTTGTTTCATTTTGCGTCGATTCTTCTGCGCATCCGACATTGTTCTGGGCAGACCAATGAGAGAAAAGTTGTATGTGGGGTAATGTGGCTTTGATTAGTACATGCGCGTATGTACAGCCAAATTGTGTATGAGATATATCCATACCATAACTGTATCGTATAATTCTATGTGATTATATCTATATATAAAAAATACTTAAGAGAGATCGGAGAAAACTAACAATTCTTGTATAGCTTGCACTAGCTTCTCGGCCATTACAAAATACTTAAACCATCAGGTATTTTCGGATCATTCAATTGATCCGTGTCGACTCGGATCAGATCTTTTGCCGGCTTGCCACTTGCTTATACTAACTTATACTCTCTGGTATTTAGAAATCATCCCACGTTAGTATGGTAAGAAATTATAATAATGGTGTAATGTTACTGCATATTAGATGTGTACATACATTGGGTAAATATTTTGTAATCCTCTTTGTTCTAACACTATTCCCCTTGAATTCATAAAATTTACATTTATTGAATTCGAGATGAATACTTGAAGAAGTTGTCAGGAAAACGATTTATGGTGCATGTAACTTCCTCTGTCACTCTTATTGTATTCTTCTATGAATTCCTACAGAATTACAATTCAGAAAAAAGAAAACTTAAAGAATACTTAATTGTGAATTCAGTGTGCTATCTGGGATACTATTGTTAACTTCGATAGAAATATTAATATTTGTAAAAAAATTTTAATTAGGAACAACAAATTATATAGAATCAAATAGATGAAGTATAATAGAAATTTTGCTTCGTTCGATTGAATTTAAATACCGATTAAGTGAAGAATAATTTGGTCGCAATTGCCGTAAAAACTTTGTGATGTCCAAATTGAAAGTATTATCTGCAAGTTAAACATCGGCACTGTCTACACGCATTTATAAAATAAGATCTGTAAAGCAGAACGAGAAAAGGAGTACGAATTCAACGTAAAGTCGGAGCATACGTGTAAATTTGGCAGCAGATCTTTTCGTCACACGGTCATTTAAATCGCCATTTAAATCGTCACTTCCGGGGTAGGGATCGCGCGGAGCGTTGGCGATCATCCTGTGAATTTCCAGAGAGTATCCAGGAGTGAGATTAACTAGTCCGTAGCTTTTAACAGACGCGTGCATAGTGAAAAGGAGAGAGAGATCCGTCAACAGGTGTTGGAAGCCTCGTTCAACGTACGTTAATCGCGACGAACGATCGTCGGAGCAACTCGGATGCGTCGTCTGCAATGCGTGGAGTAAGCCTGGTGTTGTAAGGAGTAAGAATCATAACCTTAAAGGCTGGTCTACAATACATGGAGTAAGCTGGAGTAAGGAGTAGGAGTAAGGAAATAAAATGGATTTATTTCCTTACTCCTACTCCTTACTCCAGTTTACTCCAGCTTACTCCATGTATTGTAGACCAGCCTTTAGCTTTTGATGTAAGGAAGCTAAAATACAGGCATCTTTTTAAATATTTGTAACACTGGCCGATGGCGTTCAGACTCGCCGAGAGTGAACGTAGGAGCTCAAGTAGGAGTGAGAAATAAAATTGATCTATTTCCTTACTCCTACTCCTTACTCCGTGCACTGTAGACGACGCAGGAGAGCCGATCGTGGCAATGATAAATTGTCGCGACAAACGCGTTTCAGATCAACAATTCTGGTACAGTTACAGCCGTGATAGCAACAGCTTCGTCGAGGTACTGTAAGGCGCAGTGTCTTGATGCAACAAATCCATTTAAATAAAGGATAGAGAAAAAGGGTCAAGATGACAATTGACTTGTCGACCGTGCCGCTTATCGCGGCCACTGTTACGAGTAGACAAGCTATCGCAACAATGTTGAACCCCCAGACAATTTTGCTGAGTGACAGCGGCATGTTGAGGTATGCGCTCGCTCGCGACTTTAAGGCCCGGTCTACAATGAGTCGTTAGTCGTTAGTCAGAAGTCGCAACTATATGTTGATCCTTTTCCTTTCTGAGTGGAAGAAAAAGGACCGACATATAGTTCCGACTTCTGACTAACGACTAACAACTCATTGTAGACCAGGCCTAAGACTACCAGTCTACAATGAGTTGTTAGTCGCTAGTCAGAAGTCAGAACTATATGTCGGTTTTTTCATCCATCCAGAAAGGAAAAGGAAATCAACATGTATTTCCAACTTTTGACTAACGACTAACAACTCATTGTAGACCAGGCCATAAAGCCTGATCTACACTGTGTTCTTTGACTCGTATTTTGTATCCTCTTTTATCGATGAAAGCGTCTTTAAAAGTGTTCAGATAGCCAGTATGCTCGAGCAATGTATGATAATAAAATGCCAGCAAGTGATGCTAACTCTTCGCTAGGAATGTGAATTCAATGTTCGAGTGATTTAAGTACAGCTAGCGTAATGTTAACATATTGTCGCAGTTAAGTGCACAGTTAAAGAGAGAACACATCGAGTGGGCATATACTGTTAACGAATAATTAGCCCACATTGTTTTCAATTTTCTAACAGATGTACACATATTATATCTAATACTAGCATAATGTTTGAATCATGCAAATGTTTCATTTCCGACATCAAATGCTAGCAAACAACAGCGCAATAGACGATACAGATGTATTGCAAGAGGTTAACACTTTTGTCAGCAACATGAAAACGACTCGTGCTCACACTGGCTATCTGGGTGGCTTATAGCCAATCAGAAGGCTTATTAGCCTTTTAGCGGCATTTTTATTGATAAAAGAGGATTCGGAATACGGGCCAATGTGTCTAGAGACACTTGATTTTGTAGCCAATAAATACGTTTAAAAAGATTTGTGTAAGTTGATAAATTGTACATTATACAATCGTACATTGTTGACAAGTTTTTTTAAGTGTTTTGATTTGCTTATGTAAAATAGAGTGTTCCCAGATGCAAAGAGCGCATTGTCGATCAAGCTTTATCGACACAAATGTGCCCTTTCAAGAGTATCATATATGTATATGGTAATTAATTTATAAACGATTTATAAGGGACTGGAGAGGCCTGGCGGATCAGTTGGAATTTAGTGCAGACGTCATGTCGCTGCTAATGACACACTCCAACCCGACGAACCACATGTTGACGTTGTTGGAGAAAAGTAAAAAAGATGTTACGATAAAAAGGTTTCAAACCATAATGGAACAGATGGACAGATGGGACGTTATTGACGACACCGAAGCTTTGTTCCGTACGTATTGTTAAGACAAAAAAAGGAGTAACTTGTAATTACAGTTTAATAAAAATGTATAACAGTTATATAAATATAGAAATCTTGTGTGTGATCGTAATCGTCGTCTGAATTTATTGATACAGAGAGTGACGCCAAAAGATATCTGGAGCATCAGCAGAGAGCGCAAGAGTCAGCTGATCCGATAGACAAATGTGCAGATGAAGAGATACTTACATCAGGTTTGTTCTGAAGAATTCAGAATCGATAATACTTTAGTTTGGATCATCCTGTGCAATATAAATTTATGAAGTGCTTCGCGTGTATAATTGTATGTGACGACATTTGCTTGTATGTTTCCTACAGGCGATATTCATAGGTTAAGGAAAGGTTTAAAGACGCAATATTATGACGCATTCCTTCTGTACGCTGAAGAAGACATTGATTTTGTGAATGTAATAATAGAGAAGCTCGAAACGCAATCCAACCTGAAGGTATTGCAGATAAATCTACATAATGTAGAAAGGAAAGTCCTTTATTATGAAATAGCCTTCTAATATAAGATAGCGAAGTTTCTGCTAAATTAATAGGCGTCATCTGTTGGTCCTACTATGAATTCATTGCTCTTGGGGTGAAATCCATTTAGTGGAAAATTGATTGTTAGATCGTGTAATCGTAAAAAGAAAAAGATTTGTGATTGAATTCGGACACCTACTATCTCATATTAGAATTTCATAATAGAGGACCTTTCTCTACGTCTTTTTACAAAGGTTTTGGTAAAATAAAACTGCGTTATTGTTTTCAGTTGTGTTTGAAAGACCGGGATTTGGTTGCCGGTATAGAATTCGAGCAAGAGGCAATAATGAAGTTAATATCCGAGCGATGCAATAGACTGCTTGTTATAGTATCGCCGAGCTTTCTGAAAAGCTCGGCAAACAAGTTTTTCCTGAATTATACTCAAGCTTTAAGTATCGGTATGTTTCACATTATACCTCTTTCGAAACTGAATTCCATATAAGTGCTGTGTTCTAAAAAAAACTATATTTTTCTTTAGAAAAGCGACAGAGAAAAATTATACCGTGCATATACAAGAGCTGTGAATTGCCAATTCAACTGAAATACATATTTCATTTGGATTATAATCGTAGAGGATTGTATGATTTCTGGGGCAAATTACGTGATTCCATACAATCTGCTGTTGCCACGAGGTAACGTAACTCTTGTTCCATTTGATTCACATTAATTTTTTTTTAAAACGCAAGTGATACAATTATTAATTTCACAGTAGTTCAACTCAAATGGGAAATAGCAGTACAATACAAGAAACTACGGAAGTAAAGAAAATTTTATCCGATAAGTGCAGTGACATATCGTATATTAGTGAAAAAGCAAATGAAGCATTAAAATATCCAGAACAGAAGGATGCAAATTGTCACAGTGAGATTATCGCAGAATCAAGTGATATAAAAGCCGCAAATATCAGTGGTAAAAAGAATAAGACATTCCTACGATGGGAAAAAATTACCTCAAAGTGGAAGACGAAGCAAACGAAGCAAACTGACGAGTTAAATACAGAGACAATTGTGCAAAAGCTGCCATCGTTAGATAATTTAGACAGCTTAAATTTGTCAGATACTCACATACATCGAAAGAAGAAGAAAAATTTACTTAACAAATTTATGAAGAAAAAAACTGCCCTAAAGACTTGACGAAACATTTTATTTGGATAAAACCTTGTATATACATTACATTAAATCCTATTTTTTATATTTCTATGTGTACAGAGGGAAAAAGTATATTTAATTAAACGTTTACGGCATAATAGATATAGGTGCTACATACTGCAATAATTAAATAACATGACAGTCGTATATGTTACCACCCAGATAGCACACTGAATTCACAAAGTATTCTTTAAGTTTTCTTTTTTCTGAATTGTAATTCTTTAGGAATTCATAGAAGAATACAATAAGAGTGACAGGAAGTTACATGCACCATAAATCGTTTTCCTGACAACTTCTTAAAGTATTCATCTCGAATTCAACAAATGTAAACTTTATGAATTCAAGGGGAATAGTGTTAGAACAAAGAGGATTACAAAATATTTACCCAATGTATGTACACATCTAATATGCAGTAACATTACACCATTATTATAATTTCTCACTCAACAGTGAGATACTCTCAACCGAAGCTCGTTGACAATCGGATGATTCTTCCGTTTCGGTTCTCGTCGTTCGATTCTTTCTTTTACACAATAGAACTATTGCACAAAATTAATTGCACATAACGTTACGCACACAAAATATTGCACGTGGTAACACGCTGCACAAGAACGTCCGGATGGCGGTTAGCGAATGACAAATAATTCCTCATAAATTCTTAAAGTATTCACAGTACTGAATCGCGAAGTATTCATTATAATGAACTTCAGAAGAATATACTTCAAGACGAACTGATTGAGACTAATTCTTCAAGAATTCTTCAGATATTCATTTTTCTAATTCTGTATGTTTTCTTTAAAATGAATTCTCTATGAACTTATGTTCATCTTTATGCTATCTGGGCAGACGGTTGTGAAGTTAGGAATAGTTTAGTTTAATCCCAGAAAACATTTTGCACTCAAACATCTAGCATTAACGACGTACTAGGATAGGATGCTTGCGTCGTGGAGCCCTTTTCGTACGTAAGTTAGATATATGCGCGCAAAATTATACGTTAACGCATGAGCTAACCACTTGCGTGCAAAAGCACAGACTAAACATATCTTATAATCAAGCAAAACTCAAGCAAATATCGTACAAGTTTGCATACACAAGACAAGCAAAATCTTCGCGCAAGAATTGTTATCTGGGATATTGTGAAATGATGTAACAGTGCTGTCTTGCGAGAGTTGAATTAGTATTCATAGTCAGATCTTATATATTCAAGATCTTTAGTCTCTTAGGAGTATCTTTAGATACTCTGTAACCTATGACATATTCCATACAGCATTTTTAGATACATTCAAGACGGTCTTGAATATACACAGACCTTCGACATCGATACCGTTAAATTGATATCGAATCGACGTCGAATTTGACAATGTAGATTTGACACCGTTTTGACGAACATCATTTATTCTCACTTGGTAAGATGATCTGACTATGAATACCGGCCTGAGATTATTGACCAAATGTTGTATTATACTCTGAAGTAATGGCCTGAAACATTACCACGTGATACCTTGATGCCTTCTGAGCACACAAGCTTCAATGTTATTTGAAAACATCGGCGCATTGTCCGATGGTTTGCAAATAGAACATTTACATCAAATTGATAGCTTTATGAAATAGAAAATATATGTTACGATTTGTAAGTTTTATTGTTAACAAATAAATTTAATCATATTTTTACTTCCTAATTACATTTACTATTATTTTGGTCCCTTATTAGACATTATTACATACCATTCTTACGTTATATTCTAAAGTAACGCTCTGAAAACTAACCTTGTAGAGGCCCTCCACCACCCCCGCCTATTCCAGTCGGAAAATTAATTCACAATCTCAATCTTGGGACAAAATCAATTTTCTCGGAATTTATCAATAATGCCTCATAAACTAATGATCCGAGATAAGCCATTCTTATCTCGTTAGAAGCGCTGGAATCTTAGCTTTCTAACGAGATCAGGATCATCTTGCTACGATTTTTCTGTGCGAAGTTATTGACGATTATATCGACTCGCGATCTCTTAATCCCGAGACAGCAGCAGCAGACGCCGCGTATACGCGGCGTCTCGCGCGGCATCTCGCGCGGCAATGTTTACTACCGAACAGATGTGCGTCGTATGTTTTTATGCCAGTTTTTTGGGGACGTAGTAAGCTCGCGTACTACTTGCGTAAAACTCACGCGGCCTTCAGACATGAATGGTGCGCGCGCGCCCGATTTTTAAAACGTTATACTCGGCGAAAAATCGACGTAGCGACACGAACCAAAAACCAATCTTCTTCGTTTCGCATGCCGCAGCTGTCTACGTTGAGTATGTATGCTCTTATCATGAAACTTACATATGACAATGGAGTAAAAAGTAAAATGTGAAATATAAATTATACGTATAACTACTAAATATAAAATGTTGCTGACAACCCAGATAGCATAAAGATGAACATAAGTTCATAGAGAATTCATTTTAAAGAAAACATACAGAATTAGAAAAATGAATATCTGAAGAATTCTTGAAGAATTAGTCTCAATCAGTTCGTCTTGAAGTATTCTTCTGAAGTTCATTATAATGAATACTTCGCAAGTATTCGCTAACCGCCATCCGGACGTTCTTGTGCAGCGTGTTACCACGTGCAATATTTTGTGTGCGTAACGTTATGTGCAATTAATTTTGTGCAATAGTTCTATTGTGTAAAAGAAAGAATCGAACGACGAGAACCGAAACGGAAGAATTATCCGATTGTCAACGAGCTTCGGTTGAGAGTATCTCACTGTTGAGTGAGAAATTATAATAATGGTGTAATGTTACTGCATATTAGATGTGTACATACATTGGGTAAATATTTTGTAATCCTCTTTGTTCTAACACTATTCCCCTTGAATTCATAAAGTTTACATTTATTGAATTCGAGATGAATACTTGAAGAAGTTGTCAGGAAAACGATTTATGGTGCATGTAACTTCCTCTGTCACTCTTATTGTATTCTTCTATGAATTCCTAAAGAATTACAATTCAGAAAAAAGAAAACTTAAAGAATACTTTGTGAATTCAGTGTGCTATCTGGGAAGTTATGTTAGACTGTACAGCAAGTTTATTAAAGTTTGATTTTTTATCATTAATCATCCCATTTTATTGACATGCTTTATTTCTACTAGCACTTTGGTATAATTAAATGTGTCAAGTTTTGTATTAAACTTGTATACTTTTTGCCGGCAAAATTTGTAGCACACACTGTTCTGGATATTCACTAGAAAATTATTTAAACATTCTTTTGTACATACAAGATTGCTCCGTTTATATCGAACAACCAGTACGATTGCATTCTGATCAAATTAAACTTTGCATTGTTGTAATTATAAATAAACTAATACCTCTTTTTTTATTTGAATTAAAATTTTATTCAATAAAAACAGACCAACTTGTAGAGGCCCTCCACCACCCTCGCCGATTTTGATCGGCGGTCCTCTCTTTCTTTACAATTTGGTTTTAGGTATTAACGGAGCAATCTTGTACAATTACAAAAGTACTTAGAAATCATATAAAAAAATGAAAACTTTTTGTAAATGCACATGTGTTAAAAATTAGAAGACACAAGAAAGGCAAATAGAATTTTGTCAAAAGTTTTGATACAAACACAGAGTGTGCGAAGTTTATACGGTGTTAAATATTGTTTAAGTAAAATAACAGTATTGAATCAATAGTATTGAATTTCTAAATTAACGTGCATTTCAAGAAACCCAAGGTCTCGAATTCTTCTTCATAGCGTAAAGAGAAAATTTTTTATTTTAATAAGTATAAAATAAATTTATTTTGATAAGTTAATTATTTAAAATTTTCGCTTCGTCAATGGCAACTTGTTACAATCGGCAATGAACGATTTTGTGGTTATACGCGAGCGATTTAATAAGGATTTAATAGGGGTCTTTTTAATTTTGCACATATGCGAGAATATGTAGAGAAGATAACAATATAGCCCACCCGAATTTTGACAAATAAGAAAAAAATCAACTCATTTCGTACATCACCTTACTTAGGTATGTACTCCATCAAAGTGGCCAATATTGACCACTTACCGCGTCGTTGGGCCAGATTGGACCTACCTTTCGTCGTTCCTGGCCATGCAGTCTGGTCATTTTGACCAGAGATCAAGAAGGAAGAAAACTCCTTCCATAGTCGGTTTATTATCGTCACCGACAGATATTTCGTATGGGTCGAATTATATGCGAGTGTCGATTGTATCAAAATGCACGGCCACGAGAAGTTAATCAAAGAAGAAAATTAATTAAAAAATTGTGCCGTATAAAACTAATCAAATCGACTTTTACTTTCGTTATTTATTCGAGAATATAGATAATGACTGTCTCTTCGTGATTCAATTTTTAAATTCGAAATTCAAGTATACATATAGAATTCATTAAAGCAGTGTTCATTGTAAAAACTAATATTACAAAATATCAGTAATTCTTATGCGTGTCAAACTTTATTTGGCTAAATGTTTAAGTGATTAACGCGCGAAAGATTTTCCGCAAAAGATCTTCGCGAGAATAAAGTTTTAGAAAATTTTTTATTGTTCTTGTTTTCTAATCATTATTTCGAAATGATGGAATTACGAAATAAAACGACTGAAAAATACACTGGAAGAGAGATTACTTTTACACAAAATGAAAAATAACATTTACCGTAAAGTTGCTCCGCCGGTGCCCGATGCCCTTCCTGGACCTCCTCCTCAACTCGATAACAGGTGTGCCTCCTCCGGCATACTCGTGAAAACACAAAGATCGTTCGTGAGATTTGACACTCCCGATTTCAAAACTCACGTGAAAGTATTCTGTAATTTCGTCAAGTTCGCCTCCACTTCGAGTCGACGAGTAAGGTGAGACGCACGGTATCCATAAACGAAATCACTTTAACGCGAGTCCCAAAAACTGCCGAATCTCGGAAGTGTGGCTGTCGACGGGAATTGACATTTAACGAATACTTGTTCCTCAAATGAGCTTTGAAAAGTCTTCAGTTCGATTATATAAACGGCACTCCCGAACGCGACGAAAATGGAAACTTTGTGTTGTACGCGCACTTTATAATTGTTGGAAAGATTGGTAAATCTACAGAATAGGGCCTTTTCCGAATGTTGATATTTTCTTGCGGTTTTCTTGGTAAAAACCTTTGTTGTGACTCCGACAGTGATAATCAATCGGGGGAGCCCGAAAAATATGCACCTCGAGTGACCTTTAGAAGGTTTTA